TGGCTCTGCATAGGTTGCAACAATTTAGAACTTGACCTGACAATTCAAGGCCATGCACTTCTACGACTGGAATCTGTACTAGACCTATGGCTGAAATATCCACATAACTTATCATTTTCTGAACATATCTCCAAACAAGTGTCAAAGTCACGCAGACTTATCGGCTTTCTACTCAGGAACTTCTACAGAAATGAGTCTAGAATTCTGCTGTACAAGGTTTGTGTGCGTCCTTTATTTGATTACTGTTCATTCATGTATAGTATTATACGCATAGAGGACAAATTGAAAGTCGAGGGAGTGCAGAGGTACTTCACGTTAAAATGACTCGGAACCGAAAATGGTGCGAACTACTCCACTAGATGTAATACCCTAGGACTAGAAACACTATGGCTCAGACGCCTGAGACTAAACTTAACACTTTACTATAAGCTTCTAAACCACTTAGTTTTTACCTCTACTAATGGCACTCGACTTTCAGATGACAATGGCTACAAACTAAGACACACTAAGGGTACAGTAGCTATCGAACAATGTAAAACAGCCACCAGGCAAAAGTTTTACTTGATTAGGTATGCACAGATATGGAATAAACTACCAATGGAAATGCGTCGAGCAAGTACATTGGCCTCCTTCAAAAAGGTGCTTAATGACAAACTACAAGAGTTTGCAAACGATAGTAGTTCTAGTTCCTATCTGAGAGCCTCCGAAATTATAGGACCATTTAATGTATAAGCTTAAATACTACACCTGTTGTTTTTCGCCTATATTTATAATTCTAGATAAAACATTAACGGTTAAGATACGTATCCTCAAACAGACAAGAAATCTCGTTTGTAAAACTACTACCCAACACAATGAGTGGAATAAAATGGACATAAACCGACAACATGAAAAAGGTATAACTCACCACAACATCACATGGACAGATGAACGCTCGTTGGGCACCATATATCCCTCACCAACTGCAACCCACCTTTCCTTAGATAATGTGATGAACTTATATCCATAATGTTGCTGAGCAGTTAATATTCTCAACTCCTGTCGGAACAGCTGAAACTCATAAGCCTTCCTCATGCTAAGAAAATACCCACAAGCAGTAGAAATCCATTAATTAATGCGTCTGAAGCTTATGTATTTACTCCCAACAATGACATTGCAGATGAAATGAGATAAACATATCACTGATTTCAAAATAACACATCAATGAACAATAATTCAAGGATTCTGCACACAACGAAGTTATGTATGAAAATTGACTTCAAGCTTTATTTTTTTTCCCAGGCACTTATAATCCATCCACCAAAGACCTGGTTTTTTTTGTTAATGCGAAGACAATACTCCTGTATTTCCTGTTGTGTTGCACTCCCTGACAATCTAGCAGATTTTTCCAACTGTGCACAGAAATGATTGTATATAAGTGAAAAGGCTGTTTTATACTGCTGGGATTAACATTTATCAAGTGGGTGTATTATCTCCAGCGGACACGTAAAGCATATCTTGTTGCAGCGTGTAAATTTTGATTGAATTATATGGTTCTGTTTCTGTAACAATTTGATGATGCCTGTAAACTGGCGTCCCTCATGTACTGTACTATGAGAATAAATTTATTTATTTATTCATGTGCGTAAAGACGGAATATATTATTGTAAGACGTATTTTATTGTTTTATGAGGGACTTGACTTCAAGCTTTATTTATTTTCCCAAGCATCTGTAATCCATCCATCGCATACTTGGGATTTTTTGTTAATGCGAAGTCAATATCTCTCTATATTTCTTGGTGTGTTCCATTGAATCACCAGTTATCCGATTTTTCTCACAAACTGAAGATAAAATGACAGCAACCATGTTATTTCACCGAAAATCATGTAATTTAAATATGTAACTTAAATAATACTTATCCATGGCTTTACAACTTGTGTGTCCTGCATTTGTAGGAATAATTATGTACCTTATTATATTATCATTACTGACTATACTTACTATTCGTATGTGTAATTTATCGAAATGATGATGCCTGTAAACTGGCGTCCCTCATGTACAAAAATGAGAATACACTATTATTATTATTATTATATAACTATGACTGATACTTGTGATCCTATTGGAAGCTAAATGCCACTAAGCCTCAACCATAGGAAGTACGACGTTGCTTTTCAAACTGCACTCCATCTTACTAGAAACAAGATCACAAGAACACCAAGTGTATCTATCCTCATTAACGAAAATGGAGAAACCTATGAATAATCAAAATAACCTTTAACTACAAATCATAGGGTTAAGTGAATGCATCTATCACAGCCTCTATAAAGGAATAAAGTAAGACTCATCAAATACAACCAACAATAGTCAGCAACCTGAGGTACTTTTCGCTTAGAAGACAAAAATGCACACATCCTACATGGCAGAACAATATTAAGGAATGTGTCACACGTAACAACCAACAACGGAAGTAAACATACCTGAGAGCTTATCAAAAAAAAACAGTTGAGAAGAGGTTCAACCTAACAACTTCCAGGTTCTCCCAGCAACAGAAACCAAGTATAGTGTCGTACGGTACATGAATTATGAGAACTAACAAATAAAGCTTGAACCTCGAGTATGTTACTTTTGATGTGAGTACAAAACTTGAGCAATGTGGTTGACTATAACTCCATCATGGTCAAGATTTTATTTTGATAAATCACACAGTGTTGCACAGTTATATTAACTGACGACCACGTTTCGACCACAAATTATTGCATCTCATAATCACATCAAGTTACTCACACAACTTCTTTCCTTCATTTATATACATGTGTGGAATCGATTAGATATTGGAATAAAATCCAATATGAGATAATGTACATTCAGAAATAATAGTACGAGTGTTATTAATCCATTACAATTAGATGGGATATACGACGAGGGTTTTTATAGTCATAATAAGTTGATTGTTGGAATCATTATTATGGAGTTATGCTCTACCACAGTGCCCAAGTTTTATACTTATATCAGTTTGTTTTGTAAGCAGAAGGCACTGAGTTTGAACTGCTGCCTCTGGTGGGCTTGTACCATCCACGAGTCCCAAAATAGGACGAAAAGCTCTCCAGAAATCCCTGGCTCTTTTTCAACTCTCCTCCTTCAACTGATATCAATAACTGATCAAACCTGAAAAATCTCGGTAGATTGTTAAACCCGACCCCTTTTTCCCTGTTTTACACCATTCAGGTATTAAATTCTTCAAAAGAGGAGAATTATAATCCTTTTACTTAGATTACCTTCAAGAAATTGAAACGTTCTACTCTAACTCGAAAGTCGGTACTTCACATCCAGTCTTTAACTCCGAGGTATACTCCTTCACTTTCAGACATCAACCACTCACATTACATCGAAAGTAGTTAACAATGTATTTGAAGGCTACAACCTGTTTATCTCGAAAAATAATTAGCAAACTAAAATCATGTTGAATACAATGTGTAGTAATAATGAGTAATAAGTGAGTTCTGAAGTGACATCTATTTACTTATGATGTATGGATTAGTCTTATGTACAGTATGAAAATTGTATGTATATGGCTATGTGGAAAAAGAGATTTTTGGCGCTAATATAAAAAATAAGGTAAGTCTTCAATCTAGTCTAAATATGGTCTCCATATCGGTGGCGATGTTGTTGTTGTTGGCTTTACGGTGTCATGGTTAGAATCACAAGAAACAAAATTAGTAGGAGTTGTTGTCATTGTTGTTGTTGGTGGTGGTGTGGTAGGATTGAAAGTCATTGTGTCATGCTGTCGATGAAAATAATTCGATGTGAGATTGCTGCTTGAAGAGTCTGTGGTAGTCTTTACAGGCACACGAAAGGCCGAAAAGCGTTGCTGTTGTTGTTGTCGATCTTCTTATTATTATTATTCTTCGTTTTCTTCTAATTTTTCAAACGGTGGTGACCTTGAATTCATGAGTAAATCAGTTAAAGAATGAACAACATTCGGTGTATCCAAAGGTTTAGGACATCCTACTGTCAATCGAGTATACTCATCGCTGACAATATCAAACTGATTTGTTCGATTATCTGTTAAACCTGATGAATGACTGTTGTCACCGCTGAGAAATCCACTATCAGAATTATTCAGTCTGGAATCCAAATGTTTTCTATGTTCTCCTACGGGTGTTGATGATAGCCACTGGTTGTTATTATTCCATGAATGTGTCTCAGTATTTGAATGTTGGTGACTATTGTTCGTCATCATCCTCTGACGTGGTGGAAAAGGAAAAGAGGAGGTGGTGGTGTTGGAATTGAATAGACCCCAAAGAAAACTGATGATTTTGTAGGCAATGGAGTAGACATCGAAGATGAATTGTGCATATAACCAAAAGGGATTCTTGTTGGTGGTCTTCTTCTTGTAACAGTATTCGTGGTAATGGTCTTCACTGCTGAACACTTTTCATTTGAAAATGCATTTTTAATTATCAATTTCGGTATCATATTCTCTTTATTTTCTTCATCAATCACCAACTGGGTAGACTGAGGAATGTAAGCAGTAGCAGTAGCAGTGGTATTAGAATTTGCAGTGGTAGTGGTAGTTGTAGCGGCATTTGATTGGAAGAAAGACGACGGTAGTATTCGTGTTATTTTAGACGATGAATTAGTATTCACAACAGAATATTCTTCTTCCCTAGAAAGTTTATTCGTCACCAATGCATAGTCTTGTTTTCGATTTTCTGCTGTTGCTGTTGCTACCATAGCTACTTTATGCAATGATTTAGTGAATTTATCAAGCTTCTTTGTCGCTGACGTCGATCGTGATGACGAGGAGCGGTAGGAGGAGAAGGCGGAGGATGATGGAATGTCATTCCTGGTAGGAGATGAAGATGTCAGTTTATACAAACTATGACGCAGTTTCTTCAAACGTGCTTGTAGGACGGGTTGCAGCTACCCGAACTGACATCTTCATCTCCTACCAGGAATGACATTCCATCATCCTCCGCCTTCTCCTCCTACCGCTCCTCGTCATCACGATCGACGTCAGCGACAAAGAAGCTTCATAAATTCACTAAATCATTGTATAAAGTAGCTATGGTAGCAACAGCAACAGCAGAAAATCGAAAACAAGACTATGCATTGGTGACGAATAAACTTTCTAGGGAAGAAGAATATTCTGTTGTGAATACTAATTCATCGTCTAAAATAACACGAATACTACCGTCGTCTTTCTTCCAATCAAATGCCGCTACAACTAACACTACCACTGCAAATTCTAATACCACTGCTACTGCTACTGCTTACATTCCTCAGTCTACCCAGTTGGTGATTGATGAAGAAAATAAAGAGAATATGATACCGAAATTGATAATTAAAAATGCATTTTCAAATGAAAAGTGTTCAGCAGTGAAGACCATTACCACGAATACTGTTACAAGAAGAAGACCACCAACAAGAATCCCTTTTGGTTATATGCACAATTCATCTTCGATGTCTACTCCATTGCCTTCAAAATCATCAGCAGCAGTATTCTTTGGGGTCTGTTCAATTCCAACACCACCACCTCCTCTTATTCCTCTTTTTCCACCACGTCAGAGGATGATGACGAACAATAGTCACCAACATTCAAATACTGAGACACATTCATGGAATAATAACAACCAGTGGCTATCATCAACACCCGTAGGAGAACATAGAAAACATTTGGATTCCAGACTGAATAATTCTGATAGTGGATTTCTCAGCGGTGACAACAGTCATTCATCAGGTTTAACAGATAATCGAACAAATCAGTTTGATATTGTCAGCGATGAGTATACTCGATTGACAGTAGGATGTCCTAAACCTTTGGATACACCGAATGTTGTTCATTCTTTAACTGATTTACTCATGAATTCAAGGTCACCACCGTTTGAAAAATTAGAAGAAAACGAAGAATAATAATAATAAGAAGATCGACAACAACAACAACAGCAACGCTTTTCGGCCTTTCGTGTGCCTGTAAAGACTACCACAGACTCTTCAAGCAGCAATCTCACATCGAATTATTTTCATCGACAGCATGACACAATGACTTTCAATCCTACCACACCACCACCACCAACAACAATGACAACAACTCCTACTAATTTTGTTTCTTGTGATTCTAACCATGACACCGTAAAGCCAACAACAACAACATCGCCACCGATATGGAGACCATATTTAGACTAGATTGAAGACTTACCTTATTTTTTATATTAGCGCCAAAAATCTCTTTTTCCACATAGCCATATACATACAATTTTCATACTGTACATAAGACTAATCCATACATCATAAGTAAATAGATGTCACTTCAGAACTCACTTATTACTCATTATTACTACACATTGTATTCAACATGATTTTAGTTTGCTAATTATTTTTCGAGATAAACAGGTTGTAGCCTTCAAATACATTGTTAACTACTTTCGATGTAATGTGAGTGGTTGATGTCTGAAAGTGAAGGAGTATACCTCGGAGTTAAAGACTGGATGTGAAGTACCGACTTTCGAGTTAGAGTAGGACGTTTCAATTTCTTGAAGGTAATCTAAGTAAAAGGATTATAATTCTCCTCTTTTGAAGAATTTAATACCTGAATGGTGTAAAACAGGGAAAAAGGGGTCGGGTTTAACAATCTACCGAGATTTTTCAGGTTTGATCAGTTATTGATATCAGTTGAAGGAGGAGAGTTGAAAAAGAGCCAGGGATTTCTGGAGAGCTTTTCGTCCTATTTTGGGACTCGTGGATGGTACAAGCCCACCAGAGGCAGCAGTTCAAACTCAGTGCCTTCTGCTTACAAAACAAACTGATATAAGTATAAAACTTGGGCACTGTGGTAGAGCATAACTCCATAATAATGATTCTAACAATCAACTTATTATGACTATAAAAACCCTCGTCGTATTTCCCATCTAATTGTAATGGATTAATAACACTCGTACTATTATTTCTGAATGTACATTATCTCATATTGGATTTTATTCCAATATCTAATCGATTCCACACATGTATATAAATGAAGGAAAGAAGTTGTGTGAGTAACTTGATATGATTATGAGCAATAATTTTTCGGTCGGTCGGTTTTCGACATAGAACTTTGCACATATGTCAGGCAGTTCAAGTCGCCACACTCCATCCACGTAGCACACAAAGCCAGAGAAGAAAGTAGGAGAAATGCATATTAGAGTCAGTAAACAGAGGTGTGAGACAAAGGAATAGTAATAACGAAGAACAAAAGTTTCATTGGAAATCGTGAGTCACAAGAAGTGGATACATCTGCGCTGTCATTGAGAACGATTTTGAGCCATGTCATCAATGGTTTCCAACCTTTGGTTTTTACCGTCCTGAGGGTCCCAACCAGTCAGGAAGTCTACACCTTCCGTGGCCTAGACTAACTGTTGTAGATTTCATTGACTGGTGCCATGTTTTCGTTTGAACACCGCTAGCTCTTTTCCAGCCTGACCCTATATCAGCTAACATTGCCCGTCGAGGAAGGTGATGACTAGGCATACGTAGCACATGTCCTAACCATCTCAGTCGATGTAATTTCACAGCCTAGTCGATTGATTGCCCTTCTTTACCTAGCACTCGACCGATGCCTAACCTCAATATTGCTCACCTTATTATACCACTTCACACGGGAGATAGAACGCAGGCACCTATGATCAAAGACAGCTAATCTTTTCATGTCTTCCACTCTCAATAGCCTTTGGAACGTGGCAACTCGAACTGCTGCACTTCGGCGCCAAGTTCTATGTTGAATCCAGCCAGCCAGCCAGCTCAATCGCCAGGTCTCACAGCCATGAAGGAGGACGGAGCGGACTGATGAGCAGTATACACGCCCTTTGATCGATAGCCAGCCGGATATCGCGTCTACGCCAGAGACGGCGTAAACTGGCATATGCGAAACTAGCCCTCTGTATCCGTGCTGAGATCTCGTCAGAGATCAACCCGTTGGCACTGGCTGATGGTACTTCCCAAGTAAGTGAAGCAGTCAAAGTGCTCTACCACTTCACTTCCCATTTCTAATATAGGAGTCGGTGTAGTCCAATCCCGTAACATCATCTTGCATTTGGCGGGACTCACTATAGGTTCAAAATGAGACGAACAGATCAATTTTAACGTACTTGCAAACATAACATGATGTCAGTTAATAGGAGACTCTGCAATTAATCAACCCTGCTCACAAATTACACTCATAACTTACACAAAGAAGTTCCGAGTTAAATAAAAATTTAAATAAAACTGCTTGGATTTAGTTGGGAGTTGCCGAATAAAGAAAAGAAGTGGGTGGATAAGATGCTGGGTTACTAACAAGTTGAGTAATAATGTGGTGAGTTTAACTCAAGTCATGGATACAAGACATACAAAATTATGTTGTAGAGAAAGGGAAAAAGGTTTAAGCTCAAGATTACGCAATCAAATGAGAGGGGGAGTGAAGACATTGAGTTACAAGGGCAAGGAAGGACTGATAACTGCTTCTTTTTTAACACACACATCGGGTTCTATGCGTTTGATATCAGTCGCTTCGGCAAAACTGAGGGGAATTAAACGATTTTCTCAATTGATAATTTTAAAGAATCTCAGGGTGCCAACCTTACGACCTGAATATACGGCACAACCAGTCACGGCATACTTTTTAGTTGATGTTCAGAAAATCAGAAGTATGTCCTTCTTTCTGTTCCCCCAATGTAACTGCTACCGAAGATACACATAAATTTGTATACACAAAGTTAACATAACAAATGGCATTCGTCTGCCCTTGATTGCACCAAAGACTATGTTCTCCGATAGAAGGATAACTAAGCTGTGCGATAGCTTATGACTAGTGAGGTAATCACTTTTCTGTGACTATTCCTGCAATATTATCACTTCTGAAATAAGTCGTATGGAAATACGTTTCCAACTGTACCGACGACTTCAGTCAGACAGTCTACACCTGCCTAAACAGCTAAGATTAACAGTCAATGATTTCGTGGATTGCAGCGACATTTCAATCTGACTATCTCTAACTCTTTCTCAATACAATCTTACTTCACAGTTAATGCTATCTGTCGAGAATATGCGTAACACATTCTCCAGTCATCTCAACTGATCATTATTACCACATGCTGGTAAAGCGGCTCCATCTAACTATGACTGATACTCGTGATCCTATTGGAAGCTAAATGCCACTAGGCCTCAACCATAGGAAGTACGACGTTGCTTTTCAAACTGCACTCCATCTTTCTAGAAACAAGACCACAAGAACACCAAGTGTATCTATCCTCATTAACGAAAATGGAGAAACCTATGAATAATGAAAATAACCTTTAACTACAAATCATAGGGTTAAGTGAATGCATCTATCACAGCCTCTATAAAGGAATAAAGTAAGACTCATCAAATACAACCAACAATAGTCAGCAACCTGAGGTACTTTTCGCTTAGAAGACAAAAATGCACACATCCTACATGGCAGAACAATATTAAGGAATGTGTCACACGTAACAACCAACAACGGAAGTAAACATACCTGAGAGCTTATCAAAAAAGGACAGTTGAGAAGAGGTTCAACCTAACAACTTCCAGGTTCTCCCAGCAACAGAAACCAAGTATAGTGTCGTACGGTACATGAATTATGAGAACTAACAAATAAAGCTTGAACCTCGAGTATGTTACTTTTGATGTGAGTACAAAACTTGAGCAATGTGGTTGACTATAACTCCATCATGGTCAAGATTTTATTTTGATAAATCACACAGTGTTGCACAGTTATATTAACTGACGACCACGTTTCGACCACAAATTATTGCATCTCATAATCACATCAAGTTACTCACACAACTTCTTTCCTTCATTTATATACATGTGTGGAATCGATTAGATATTGGAATAAAATCCAATATGAGATAATGTACATTCAGAAATAATAGTACGAGTGTTATTAATCCATTACAATTAGATGGGATATACGACGAGGGTTTTTATAGTCATAATAAGTTGATTGTTGGAATCATTATTATGGAGTTATGCTCTACCACAGTGCCCAAGTTTTATACTTATACCAGTTTGTTTTGTAAGCAGAAGGCACTGAGTTTGAACTGCTGCCTCTGGTGGGCTTGTACCATCCACGAGTCCCAAAATAGGACGAAAAGCTCTCCAGAAATCCCTGGCTCTTTTTCAACTCTCCTCCTTCAACTGATATCAATAACTGATCAAACCTGAAAAAATCTCGGTAGATTGTTAAACCCGACCCCTTTTTCCCTGTTTTACACCATTCAGGTATTAAATTCTTCAAAAGAGGAAGATTATAATCCGTTTACTTAGATTACCTTCAAGAAATTGAAACGTCCTACTCTAACTCGAAAGTCGGTACTTCACATCAAGTTTTTAACTCCGAATAAAATCCCTATGTTATCGCGGATGTATAGAGCAACCCCGCCACCCTTCCGACTACTTACTCTATCTGCTCGAATGCAGATGTACCCAGGTATGAGTGGAGTTAAGTCTACACCCACTAACAACCATGTCTCAGTGATAGCAATCACATCAGGTTGTAGTCCTTCAGATAACTCTCCTAATTCGGCGAGCTTATTCCTAAGACTACACGCGTTCGTATAGCACACCGAGACACCTACGTGTTCATCCGGCTTATGAAGAGAGGTCTCGGCAGCATCGGTTTCCGAGACCTCACCACCCGAAAACCCAATGTCTTGAGGTCTTTTTCACCTTTCTCTAGCCTAGCCTTTAGTTCAGCCACGGCTTCTCTTCTTTTGATTCTATCTTCTAAAGGCCAATCAGGCCTTATTTTTAAACTTTTATCGTTAATTTTGAACGCGTTGTTGAGGATGGTGCTTTTCTCTGTTTCATTCCCTAAAACTATCTTAAGTAGTCGTCGAGAAGTTTCCGTAGCATCAGGGTTTCGTTTTCCGATCCTGATGGCTTTTCTTACGTGAACTCCAATTGTTTTTTCCGGAAGTATTTCCCGGATTATGGAGCTAACCGCCTTCAGACCATCTGCATGTCGGGTAGCTGGATCTGTGTTCTTAGATTCCTCCAAATTCCAGATGATAACACTGTAACTAGAGTCCGTGGGTTTCTGAGTTTGGCTGGTATTAACAGCCATCGAGACCTTTTTGGTGGAGTCGGTTGCTGTTTCTTTCCTTCGTTTATTTTGCTTCTTACCTCTCGGCACCAACCAAGTGGAGTCAGTTTCTTCCACTTTGTTTTCGCCGCGACTAGAGGCCATTCGTGCACTAGACACGCTGCGCTTTGGGGTGGCCATTTCACAGGCTGGTGTTGCCATGCTGGCACTACTTGCCCTTTCAGACTTCCTTTGTCGTTTGCGCTTTGTCGCAACAGATATTTGGGCACTCTGTGCCTCTTTCGCCTCCTGAGCCCCAGGTGGCGATACACCTTCAGTTTTAAAATTATGTCCTGAACTGCCATTTTTGGCTATGATTTCTGGTACAGGCTTCTCGATTACGTTTTTAGTCAATTACTTGGAAATCAGGAGTCCCACTGCCTCTTGGATGAGGATATCCAACGGGTTGCTGCAAAATTAACACAGCCATGGAGATGATGGCTTGCAACATCTCTTATAGGCTACTGGTGACAAACCAGTGCAAACCTTGTGGAACCATAGGCTGCAGTTGTCACACTGCCTACCATCATCCACTGGAAAGTGGCAGTCCGGTCGTCCACAATTGCTATTCCGACCCATAGCGCTTATTTGTTTCAACAACACAAATATATGTACGTGAAAACTGTGGTGTTAATACCAACCAAATACACAAATGTATATACGTAAAAAAAAGCGTAAATACCAAACAAAACACTAACTGTGAAAAATATGAACAACACTTCAACTAAATAAATCAGTTAAAGTGAACTAAAAAGCTTCTGATGTGGTTTAAACAACAAAAGCAGAATTTACTTCACAACGTGAAAAACGCCACTCTCCTTTTTCAAAGCGCGCGCGAATGGTCATTGCAGAAAGTAAAGGACCGATTCTCCAACACTGAACGAATCAAAATATTAAATTCATGTGTTGGGATTTCACAAAACGCTAACCTGTAAGTCCATTAGATCCCAGTCAATATTCTTGATCGTCTGTCGAATTCGAGTGAGTATTTTTGTACCCTCAGGACCCGAACCACCCTTCCAATCTTCATAGAGTGTTTTAGTTAGCTGCATATTCTTATAAACCTCCTCTTGCATTGAGAAGTATGGGTCAATGTCATCCATATTGCAGAAATACAAGTCACAAACCGTAATCTGTAACAGATATTCCACAGGGTCACAGACAGAGAAAGAAGAAGACGCAGAGTGCGATGAAAGGTCTACATTATCAGCATGCAAGGGTTAAATTAAGCGGTTACAAGTTAGTTATCATCTGTTAAAACAAGTCCAACTAAACGGTCCTCTTCTTGTTCCAATGAGTTTATGCTAGCATTGGTTTCTGCAAAAGAAGAAAAGAAAAACTTATTTAGTGGTATCATATTGGTTTTTGTCCTATTACAGTGCCTCCCCCCTTCTGTGGGCACTGTCCTCAGTGCCTGATGGTGGTATAGGGTATGCCGTGCCTCCGGCAGACGGCACCTCGACGAAGCTAGTGGCAGGTGCCAATTGGGAGGGGTTCGGCGGCGCCTTGGCGGCGGCGGGATGATGCGGTTTCAGTTGGTTGTAGTGGGCGGAGATGAGAGCGTCTTGAGAGCGTCGTAGATTCCGCAGGATGTACGTAGTCGGTGGTCGGTGTTGGACGGTCTCGTTTGGCCCTTCCATGGCGCGTATAATTTTGGGCACGAACCAGCGGGAACTGACGGTCGATGTAGCCAGACTTAATCACCGAGGGAATACGTGGGTCCGCGAGCGAACCGGTCGTAGATGCTCTTCTGGTGCTCTGAAGAGGAGTGGAGATGACGGCGCGCCAGCCCGTATGCTACCTCCAGGTGATGACGAAGATGTCGTACATAGGGTATGCAGTCGATTCTCTCATACGGTAGCATTGGCGCCTGGATCTCGACTGGTAGACGAAGTTCACGCCCGAACAACATCATAGCTGGAGAAAAACCCGTTGAGGAATGCACGGAGGAGCGATAAGCCAACAAGCACTGGGGCAGGACGTCGTCCCAGGTGTTTTCCGGAGCGTTATGCAGGAAGGCACGGAGAAGGTTCTTGATAGTTCTGTTGGTGCGTTCCACCAGCCCATTACCTTGTGGATGGTAGGGTGTCGTGTGCGTTTTCCGAATGGCAAACGTATTACAGATGTGCGCGATGAGGTTACTCTCGAAAGCAGTGCCTTGATCGGAGTGTAGATAAAGGAGGGCACCAAAACGAGACACCCACGTATCAATGAAGGTGCGACCGATCGTCAGGACATCCTGGTGTTGCAGGGGAACAGCCTCGCACCACTTGGTGAAATAGTCTACCATTACGAGTATGTAACGGTTACCGCGTCTCGACGCTGTGACTGGCCCCATAATATCTATCCCCACTCGGTGATTGGGAGTCTTGGTTAACATCGGAACCAATGGTGCTCGCGAGACTGGATTAGGCTGCTTAATTTGGGCACACGTAGAGCAATTTCTGCAGAATTCAGTGACGTCATGATGAAGGAGTGGCCACCAAAAGCGTTGACGGACAGCGTGTTCGGTTTTCCGTTGGCCAGCGTGGCCAAGTTGCTGGTGTACGAGATGTATTACCTCCGGGACCTTCAGACGTGGCACGATAAGGCGCGGTGACAATGGTGGTTCGACTATATACAAGACGTTACCAATCAGGCGTAGCATACCCCACTTACCACAGATGCATCTGGTTTTGCAGACAGACTCCGTAGTTCTTTACTCGATGGTTTGTCGTTCCCGTGAAGTTGACGTGAGTACACAGGTTGGATGTCCGCGTCAGCCGCCTGCAGTGCTGCCCAATCAACATCTAGGCCTGTGTTCAGTATAGCATTTACCGGGGAAACATGAGGCGGCAGACGGGAGAGGGCATCAGCATTAGCGTGCCGGGGCCCAGGGCGATATTCGCAGGTAAAATCGAACTCCTGCAAACGCTCCTGCCAGCGAGCAACCTGGCCTTCGGGTTCGCGAAAAGTTTGAAGCCACTGCAGGGCACGATGGTCAGTGCGTGCTCGAAATAGGCGTCCGAGAAGGTTATGGCGGAAATGTTTGAGAAAGTGGACGAGGGTCAGCATCTCTTGGCACGTCGTGGAGTAGCGGGTTTCACGTTTGTCCAGCTTACGGCTAGCATATGCAATAACCCGTTCTTGACCATCAGGCGCCACTTGGGAGAGGACAGCGCCAATGGCAGTAGCACTTGCATCAGTATCTAAAATGAAGGAGCCAGCAGATGGGGACGTGTCAGGGAATGCGAGGATGGGTGATGATGTGAGACGTTTCTTCAACTCGTTAAAAGCGTTTTGGCACTCAGTAGTCCACAAAAATTTTCGACCTTGTTCCGTTAAGCGATGCAGGGGTGACGCTATAGTGGCGAATGCGGGGACAAAACGACGATAGTACGATGCTAAGCCCAGAAAGCTGCGGACGTCTTTAGTACACTGTGGTACGGGCCAGTCAGAAATGAGGCGGGTTTTTGCTGGATCTGTCTGGATGCCGTCTGGTGAAATGCGGTGACCCAAGAAAACAACTTCTTGCTGAAGGAAAGTACACCTAGACGGTTTCGGCTTTAAGCCAGCAGTTCGTAAGCGAGGAGGGCATGATCTGAGCCCAATTGTAAATCGAAGCAGTTGTCGAGTATCTGCCAATTTTCCGGCATGGATTTGGTGTTGGTGAAGCCGGCAGCGTCCGCACGGGCCAAAGCATCCTCAGAGAGGGCACTTAGGGCATGAAGAAAATGGTGAGCTGGTGGAGGTATGCTGAGAAATGCCTGCATGCGTTTCTTCCATCTTGGGTAGTCTGAAGATAGCTGCAACGTTGAAGGGCGGGGCAACGTTGGCGCAGTGGGCAAGGTGAGTTCACTGTCTTCTGGGAATAGCTTGGGGAGGCCGTAATTTGATGATGAATCCATGTTGACTGTCGATTTGGGCACCTCCGACACCAATTTGTAACAGACATTCCACAGGGTCACAGACAGAGAAAGAAGAAGACGCAGAGTGCGATGAAAGGTCTACATTATCAGCATGCAAGGGTTAAATTAAGCGGTTACAAGTTAGTTATCATCTGTTAAAACAAGTCCAACTAAACGGTCCTCTTCTTGTTCCAATGAGTTTATGCTAGCATTGGTTTCTGCAAAAGAAGAAAAGAAAAACTTATTTAGTGGTATCATATTGGTTTTTGTCCTATTACAGTGCCTCCCCCCTTCTGTGGGCACTGTCCTCAGTGCCTGATGGTGGTATAGGGTATGCCGTGCCTCCGGCAGACGGCACCTCGACGAAGCTAGTGGCAGGTGCCAATTGGGAGGGGTTCGGCGGCGCCTTGGCGGCGGCGGGATGATGCGGTTTCAGTTGGTTGTAGTGGGCGGAGATGAGAGCGTCTTGAGAGCGTCGTAGATTCCGCAGGATGTACGTAGTCGGTGGTCGGTGTTGGACGGTCTCGTTTGGCCCTTCCATGGCGCGTATAATTTTGGGCACGAACCAGCGGGAACTGACGGTCGATGTAGCCAGACTTAATCACCGAGGGAATACGTGGGTCCGCGAGCGAACCGGTCGTAGATGCTCTTCTGGTGCTCTGAAGAGGAGTGGAGATGACGGCGCGCCAGCCCGTATGCTACCTCCAGGTGATGACGAAGATGTCGTACATAGGGTATGCAGTCGATTCTCTCATACGGTAGCATTGGCGCCTGGATCTCGACTGGTAGACGAAGTTCACGCCCGAACAACATCATAGCTGGAGAAAAACCCGTTGAGGAATGCACGGAGGAGCGATAAGCCAACAAGCACTGGGGCAGGACGTCGTCCCAGGTGTTTTCCGGAGCGTTATGCAGGAAGGCACGGAGAAGGTTCTTGATAGTTCTGTTGGTGCGTTCCACCAGCCCATTACCTTGTGGATGGTAGGGTGTCGTGTGCGTTTTCCGAATGGCAAACGTATTACAGATGTGCGCGATGAGGTTACTCTCGAAAGCAGTGCCTTGATCGGAGTGTAGATAAAGGAGGGCACCAAAACGAGACACCCACGTATCAATGAAGGTGCGACCGATCGTCAGGACATCCTGGTGTTGCAGGGGAACAGCCTCGCACCACTTGGTGAAATAGTCTACCATTACGAGTATGTAACGGTTACCGCGTCTCGACGCTGTGACTGGCCCCATAATATCTATCCCCACTCGGTGATTGGGAGTCTTGGTTAACATCGGAACCAATGGTGCTCGCGAGACTGGATTAGGCTGCTTAATTTGGGCACACGTAGAGCAATTTCTGCAGAATTCAGTGACGTCATGATGAAGGAGTGGCCACCAAAAGCGTTGACGGACAGCGTGTTCGGTTTTCCGTTGGCCAGCGTGGCCAAGTTGCTGGTGTACGAGATGTATTACCTCCGGGACCTTCAGACGTGGCACGATAAGGCGCGGTGACAATGGTGGTTCGACTATATACAAGACGTTACCAATCAGGCGTAGCATACCCCACTTACCACAGATGCATCTGGTTTTGCAGACAGACTCCGTAGTTCTTTACTCGATGGTTTGTCGTTCCCGTGAAGTTGACGTGAGTACACAGGTTGGATGTCCGCGTCAGCCGCCTGCAGTGCTGCCCAATCAACATCTAGGCCTGTGTTCAGTATAGCATTTACCGGGGAAACATGAGGCGGCAGACGGGAGAGGGCATCAGCATTAGCGTGCCGGGGCCCAGGGCGATATTCGCAGGTAAAATCGAACTCCTGCAAACGCTCCTGCCAGCGAGCAACCTGGCCTTCGGGTTCGCGAAAAGTTTGAAGCCACTGCAGGGCACGATGGTCAGTGCGTGCTCGAAATAGGCGTCCGAGAAGGTTATGGCGGAAATGTTTGAGAAAGTGGACGAGGGTCAGCATCTCTTGGCACGTCGTGGAGTAGCGGGTTTCACGTTTGTCCAGCTTACGGCTAGCATATGCAATAACCCGTTCTTGACCATCAGGCGCCACTTGGGAGAGGACAGCGCCAATGGCAGT